GGCTGATGCGTTGTCACGCAGACCAGACTATGAGCTTGCTCATATTACAACTGTAACGACGTTTGTGACGAATTTGGTCAGCACCGCGTATCCATGAGTTTGGACTTTGTGTTTGGCCTGCCGAAACCTTCGGCAGGTAACACGGGTGTCGTGGTATTCGTCGACCGGTTGAGCAAGGTGGCTCATGTGGCGGCGGTGCCAGACTCTATCGACGGAGTCTGTACAGCAACGCTGTTCGTGGATCGTGTTTTCCGTCAACACGGACTCCCAGAGTCAATTGTCTCTGATAGAGACCCCCGTTTCACAGGAACATTTTGGGTGACTATCTTCAAGGTGCTAGGCGCTCAGTTGGATATGTCGACAGCGGATCATCCGTAGACCGATGGTCAAACTGAATAGGTAATACGCGTCATCGAAGACGTTCTTTGCAGCGTCTGCGCTGAGACGCCGAGGCGCTGGAGCGCCATTTATCCAATCGTAGAGTTTGCACTGAACAAAGCAGCGCATACGTCTACCGGCTACACGCCGCTCTACGTGAACGGGCTAATTCACCCTCGCTTCCCGCTGACACCGCCATCCCATGGCTCAGGGCTTGGTGGGGGAGGAAAAACCGAACGACTAGCTGACGTCAGCCCCCTCACCATCCGCAAAGAACTGATGACTTCTTGTCTACCAGACTGAGTGTCCTACGACGCGTTCGCGATGCGATGGCTGAAAGTCAAGACCTGCGAAAAGAATATGCAGATGAAAAAGGAAGAGGCAAAGTGGAAAGCTTTCAGGTCAGAGACCTGGTTTTATTAAATTCAAAAACCTGCCTACACATGCAGCCTCTGCTATCTTCAGGACAAAGCTTCGTCCACGGTTTACCGGAAGGTTTAATGTTGTGGCCAAACGGGGCCTGGCGTACACGCTGAGCCTTCCAGAACGAATGCGCACCCACCCAATGTTTTACGTGGGCTTGCTCAAGCCGTACCGGGATCCGGCGCAAGTGAACGCGGAAGCGGATCCCACGGGCCTTGGCCAACCAGAAGTTGAACCCGCGACTGGTAATGAGCACGGAGTGCAACAACCTACATTTCTAATGGCGCCACGCGCTCCACCGTCGCATGCAGCGACGCATTCGCCTGGTCCACGGCTAGGAGTCGCTCCGACAGATCGCGGTGAGGCAACCAGCGCACGACGTGCTTTAAATCGTCAAGAGCGTCCGCACAGCGATATGTTACTTCAGCATGACGCTCAGCGAAGCTCCGATCACGAAGGACCTCGTCCTCAAGGGCT